CAACACAACCAGAAGTCAAACTACCATCACATAGTCTACCAACTTTCTCTGGAATAGAGGACGAAAATTGGGATAACTTCTGGGACACATTTGTCGATTCGGTAGATGCTAATGCCAATATCGCTAAGACAACTAAATTTACATATTTGCAGAGTGTGTTAAAGGATGAAACATTACAAGTGGTCTGTAATTTAACATTGTCAAATGATAGCTATGATAGCGCAGTACAGCTCCCTAAAGAAAATTATGTTAAGCCAGAACGAGCTATCAGACTTTGAAGACAAAAATTGTTGGACATACCATCTGCAGATGAATCCGTTGACTCACTCCAAGTCTTTAGATCGGAGCTTGAGTCCTTGCTCAACGCACTTAGCACTAAAGTAAACCTAGATGAATCGGACTGTATAATCCAAGTCCTTATGATACGCAAATTACCCAGTGAAACACTGGATAAGTTGTTTGTCTTACATAACAAATCTTCTGATAGTAAAGGAGTTTACAGAAGGTTTACACTCAGTGATAGAAAGACAAAGAGACATCACAGATGGTAAATCAACACCTAAACCTTCATTAAACACTCATAATAAACAACAGAGTACAAACAGTACTCCAAATAAATCTAAAACAACTACCACCATCCCAAAGTGGAAACAAGGCAGTGTGAGCACATACACAGTGGGTCCCTCCAAACATAGTTAATTTGTCACCCAAAATTGTGACTCCCGAAGGTGCTGTTAATGTCTGGAGGTCATGTCTGTTCTGTGAAGAACATTCCAGGAACAACTGCAAAACTTACCCTGATCGTGTTACACGTGTAAAACGACTCAAGGAGTTACGTAAATGCACCAGGTGTCTACGGTCACATAACACCGACACCTGTGCGACTCAAATGCACACCTGCAATAGGTGCAACACCATACAGCACTGTGTGGGATCTCAAAGACAAAGTCTCCGAAACCTCAAGTGGAGGAAGGAACTTCCACTTCAGTACAGCTCTGTAAAACCCTACCAGACAAAAGTTAACTATCAACAAAGTCTGATCATAAATCAGCTTTACCCCACTGCCTAATTAACCCTTAAAAACGGAAAGTCCTAGATCACCATACATGGATTATTTGACCAAGGATCCGAAATGACTTTTATCTCAAAAGAGTTGGTAGATGCCTTGAAACTCAAGCCTGTACGAGAGACACGAATAGACATAGCAGGATCCTGACTAACTCAGGAGCACAAGTCTTCAAGGTAGTACAACCTAAAGTACATTTAGGCAGTTATGTCTGAACGATACAGGCTCTTGTAGTAGATAAATTCCCATCAGATCTGTATGTGTATGGTCTTGGGACAACAGCCAAATTCCTGGAAGAAAAGAGAATTCAATTGGATGACAAAATCACATCAGACAACCTCTCCAATATTGGTATCCTTATCGGTTCAGATGTCTACCATAAGTTTATCAAAGGAAAGGATGAAAAACAGGGAATGAACCTGTTACCATCTGCAGGTGGTTACTTGCTAACAGGCCCAGTATTATGGCTGAAGCAACTTATACCTGTAGACCACCAACATGCCAACCCAGTGATGGTTGCATGACTAGGAAAACAGTCTCCACTACATTTCAGAGATATGTCTGAGGATGAGCTTGATCCCCCTGTACATAAATTATGGGACCTGGCAACTCTCGGCATTGTCCCTGAATAACCTAGTCCGGATGATGACTGGACTTATAAACAATACCTGAACTCAGTTGTCTACAGAGATAATCAATACTGGGTCAGGTTACCATGGAAGGTGAATCACCCTGGGCTACCCATCAACCATTTCATGGCACAAACCTAATTAAGGTCACAGATGTTGTGCTTAAAAAGACATCCTGAGAACTTGAAATTGTACCACAAAATAATCAAGCAGCAACTCGACAATAAATTTATCAAGGTTGTAGCAAATGATGACCCAAAGAAAGGTCACTACGTGCCACACCATCCAGTACTGAAAAATTCAGCTACTACCCAATAAGGATAGTATTTAACTGCAGTCCTAAGACCAAGCAGAATAGTGTATCACTGAATGACTGCCTTCAAACTAGTCCTAGTCTGACACAAAGGCTACATGACGTGCTGTTAAAGTTCTGCATCGGGACTTACACATACACGGCAAACATCAGCAAGGCCTTCCTTAGATTAGGTCTCCAAGAAGAAGACCGTAACTGCACAAAGTTTCTATGGATCAAGGATCCTAACGATCCAAACAGTGAATGATCCAAGCAGAAACACTTATAGCTTTGCGTCTGTTTTGTTTGGTGCCACTTTTCCGTTTCTGCTTCAAGCTACCTTAGACACGCACTTGAAAAAGTCTAATAGCCCAAATAAAACATAAATTAGCAACAACCTGTATGTGGACCATTTCCAAGGAACAACCAGCAGTAAGAGTAAACTGCAGAATATATATGACGAGGCCAATCGAGAATTATTGGGAGCAAATATGCTTCTCTAGCCGTGGGTCTCCAACAATGCCAAATTAAATCAACTGATCGAAAAGGAATTTTCCGACTACAAAGTACCCCAAAAGACAAAAATACTAGGTGTCGAATAGGATACAACAGCAGATCAGTTGACAATCAAATTAGTGGAGCCAGACACCACAAACATAACAATGAGAAAGTTACTCTCACAAGTCAGCAAACCCTTCGACCCATTGGGACTATTAAGTCCAATCTTAATAAAAGAGAAGTTGATAACGCAGGAATGTTGGCAACAAAAGATGGGCTGGGATGATCTTCTAACACCTACCGTACAAGAAAAGTGGCAGGGGCTAGTGAAAGATTTAGACGGAATTAAGTATCTTCTCCCGGGGAAGTTTTCTCCCCCAGGAGAAGACTCCCCCAGAATTAAGTATCCTAGAGTCTGTCAAGTTCCTTCGGAACACAATAAGTGAAAAGGAACCAATTAAGCTACATGTATTCGGTGATGCCTCAGGAAAGGCTTATGGCACAGTAGCTTACCTGGTCTCAAATGGGCAAGCCAATTTGCTCACTTCAAAGGCCAGAGTGGCATCGTTAAAGAAACAATCATTGCCACAACTGGAGTTAACAGCCTTACTGCTAGGAGTAAGATTGGTTCATTATCTGATCAAGCCCTTAAGCAACATCCACTTTGAAGAAACAGTGGTATGGTCAGATAATGAGGCAGTGCTACAGTGGGTGAAAAACAATAGCAGTAAAAATCCTTACGTGAGTAACAGCGTTAAGGAAATACGAGAGTTGTCAGCAGGGTACAAACTGAGATATGTACCCACCAATGAGAATCCAGCTGACTATCTCTCCTGAGGCCTGAATTTACGGCAATTAACAAAGGCAGAGATGTGGTTTAATGGACCTCAGTGGCTAGTCAGTGACCAGTGGCCTGAACAAAAGCCACAAGTCATTGTGACCAATGTCACTGTTAACACTGAGAATCCAGAACTACCTCGGACTTTGGTAATTGATCCTAATCGGTACTCTGAACTGAATACACTAATAGGTGTCACCCAAGTGGTGTTTGATTTTCTAAAGAAAATAGGAATCAAACATAAATTACCTAGTGCCCTAAGGTACTGGGTCAACAGAGCCCAAACAGATACATATGGGATAGAATTTGACAATGTCCCTAAGAAGCTTCAAAATGATCTGGGTCTCTGAATAGACATCAACAATTATAACAAAATAAGATGTGAAGGATGCTTACAGCATGCGGACATAGATCTAGAAGCAAAAAATTCCATATTGCTTCCTTGTCACCACATAGTCAGCAAGCTGATAGTGTTATACATACACAAATACAACACTCCGCATGTTGAGGTATTAGATACTCTCACAGACTTAAGGCAACAGTACTGGCTACCCCAAGGTAGGCAGACTGTAAAATCCCTAATTAAATCCTGTGGTATTTGCCAGAGATATGATGCCAGAGCGTTTCCATATCCGGGACCTCCTCACTCCCAAAGGAACGAGTTGTACATATTCGTCCCTTTGAAACTACAGGAGTAGAAACTACGGACGAGGAACCAGAGGTTCCTTCATATGTCCGAGAAAGTGATTTGGTTCAACGTTTCAAACATTTATCAGGGATAATAAGTCGGTGGAATGACGTATGGGCTCGAAAATACCTTACTACTCTGAGAGAGTATCATTATGGGGCAAACAACTCCTACAACAGAATTAACTTGAACCTTGTGACAGTTCTGGTGGACAGCGATTTGCCTATAGGCAAAATAGTAGCCCTGACTGTCTCCTCATTCAGACAGTCAGGATATCTTGAAAATAGTGAATGTAAAATACAGAGGCAGCACTTCTCTCAAAACACTAGAGATATTAACTCCTTTAGAACTGGCAGGAAAAGTAGACGTTCAATGACTTCCAGCACCCAAAGTGCCAGTAAGGGACGTCTGTCCCGAGCGGACTGCTGCACGACAGTGCAAGCTCAAATTAAAAAACCTCTATAATTCTGAGGGCGAGGAATAAAGTGATCGCAGTCCTTAACGGAACTTCGACCTGTATTCCTCTCCCCCGGAATTATGTCGGAAATCCGACACACACATAATAACAACAGTTACCCATTAAAGGAAAAAAGTGTGACTTTTTTTTCTCTGATTTTATCAAAAGAATTAATTCTTATTAATGTTACGTTAATCGTAACTATCTCGCAAGAAAGGCAGACCTCAAACAGAAAGAGCTGCCAGTGGCAGGTATTTAATCTTAAAGCCTAAGATCATAGGACAGCGGAAGCAAACCGCCAAGTGCCACCACACGAGTGAAACGGATGAGATGTGATCATGTATGGTAATGAGATCGGTGAAAGTGATGCTAGAGTGATGGTGATACAGTAGTGATGGTGATGAGCTGTGACCCAGTTAACAGGAGAGAGACCACAGTCCACCACAGGAATGATGCTGACACAGGAGTAATACTGTACTAACACTGTAGATGTTGTAGATGTAGATGTAGATGATGGTGATGGTACAGCGACCTAGAGTGGCAGCAAAACACCACAGTCCACCACAATCACCTCCGTAATGTAACTGTGGTTAAATGCTGCCCTCAACACATCCAGGCCGCTCACCACCTCCCCAAAGACCTGTAACCACCGATGACAATTCGGGTGGTCCCTGGTGGTGATGCCAAACTTTGCACCCCGGGCCCTCCCCAGTCCACACCAGGACCACACAGACCCCGCCCTGCCTGACCTACGGTACTGCCCTCGCAGGTCAGGCAGCAATGTGGCTCCTCCTCGACCATCATTACTCTCGTAGTCTCCACCCTCCACCCACTCCCCCGCCTGTGCTATGGCCCACTCCCCCGCCTGACCCATTTCCCACACCCCAAAAAGTTTAGAGTTGTGATAGGTGGGGCCCCATTGGCCCGTACACAACAGCACAAACTGTCTGGCCAGCGGAGTGTCAGGGGCCAGCCGGATGGTGACCCGCCCTCTTGATGACCCCGCCCACCCGAGGTCAAGGAATGCTAGGGTGCACGAGGGGTCCAGCAAGCCCACAACTTCACTCTCCTGCAGAAAATTAAACAAATCCTGTTCATAAGTCTGTAAAATGTTATCTAGTTAGTTAATAAAAGCAATGAGTATGTTTTCAGTAAGACTGACAAGGGTAATAACTTCAACAAGACTGGTAAGAGTAATAAAGTAACCTGTATGGTGTGAGCGGGCGTTTGCTGATGCAGGAGTGAGTGGAGGAAGAGCTGTCCGTCTTGTAAAGTAATCCTGGCAAAGCGGCGACCATCTAGGTCTTGTTGTACAGCAAACAATCGGCCAGTCTCCACCAGCCTCTGGACGGGCTCACTCATCCTGCGAAGGTCCTCGACCTGTGGATAGTGTCAGTCCCATTATTACCTGTTATACTGGTGAGCGCAGCAAGTCCTATCTTAAGGTTATCTTGAGATGATTTCGGGGATTAGAGTTCCCGCGGCCCGATCCTTGACCAGGCCTCCTTTTTGTTACACACCCCCTTTTTGTTAGACAGCCCGTAGCGGCTGTCTAACTCCCAGGGACCTATTTACTGCTAGGTGAACAAGTGCATCAGGGTAAAAGAAACTCTGCCCATTTGTTTCCGCCTCCACCGAGGATCGAAACCGTAACCTTAGGACTACGAATCCCGAACTCTGTCCACTCAGCTGTCAGGCCTCTAAAGGTCAAATGTAGCACCAACAAGGAGCAACGGTTTCAAATTCAACAAACATCAATGTAGAGAAAGTATTCTCCTACAGTGTACTACAGTGTTAGTACAGTATTACTCCTGTGTCAGCATCATTTATTATATATGCACAGGCTGCCTGTCTCTGGGTACAATTAATTATTATATAGGCACATGCTGTCTGTCTCCAGGTACAATTAATTGTTATATATGCACTGGCTGCCTGTCCCCGGGTACAATTAATTAATTATTATACATGCACAGGCTGCTTATCCCCGGGTACAATTAAATAATTATTATATATGCAAATGCTGCCTGTCCCTGGGTACAATAAATTAATTATTTTATACACAGGCTGCCTGTCCCCGGGTACAATGAATTCATTTATATATATGGGCAGGCTGCCTGTCCCCGGGTACAATGAATTACACACAGAAATCACAATAGCGTGATTGTAATTTATTCATTACAGTGAATTAATTGCTATATATATATATGCACAGGCTGCCTGTCCCTCCGGGGTACAATTAAATCATTATTATATATGCACAGACTGCCTATCCTCGGGAACAATTAAATAATTATTATATATGCACAGGCTGCCTGTCTCCGACAAAAAATAAACAACGAATTATGAGGTGATTCTTGTGTCATGTGACTTTGCTGCAAGATGACTCAATGTCCAGTAATTAAAGGCTTCACCGTTGTGTATTAACTCAGATGTTATAAGATATTATGAAGTATTTTTGCATATGTTGAGTCTTCTCCTCTTCAAGGTCCTCATCATTGGCTGTTGGACACGCCTGTGAAGGCTGTCAACTCTGACTATTAGCAACAGTTGTTACACCATCAGCTCAAATATAGTGACAACTCAACTGGTGATTACTGGCATTGTCACCATATTTATGGTGTCAGTGTCATTATTATTAGTACCATATTTCAGCTCTTCTATTTCAAAAATTAGAATTTAAAATCTAAATGAAAAAAATAACTGAAAAAAGTTAATATTTAACATAAAACAAACTCAGTCATAATCTTACAGTTAACTGTTCCAAGTTGAATCTTTCAGTTTTGGTCCAGACTTTCTCCATGATGTCGGAGGCTGAGTCTCCCAGGTGGTCGGGCACAGCTGTGACACCTGCCCCGGTGGTCATAATCTCCAGGCCCTCGTTCATGGTCTCCTGCACCTGTCATTACCAAAACAATCATTAATTGTGGAGGCTAAGTCTTTCTGGTGGAAGGGGACAGCTGTGGCACCTACCACACACTCGACCAGCAAGTGCCAAACACCAGTCCAGCAAATGTTGCACTCGACAAGTAAGTATCACATACTTAACCAGCACGTGTCACACCCTTGACCAGCAAGTACTATACACTTGACCAGCAAGTACCAAGCACTCAGCCATTAAGTGAAAAAACAATCGACCAGCAAGTGTCATACACCAACCAACATGTAACAAGAGAGAGGTACGCAGGAGAACAATAGAACAATGGAACGTCAGGGCACAGCGACTACCAGTCTAGGGGTGAACAATGAAAACTCATACGTCTGTCAGGTACAAACCAAAGGCAAAGTCAATTCCGGTCAAATGTGTAGGCTATCATGATGCTGTCAGTCATGTTGTGGCCTTGTTAATACATAGGGATTAGTAATCTAATTTATCAGTTAGTCAGGCCAGACCGGCCTGTCATTACCCTTTCACCTGTGCCTCTTCTTTTTTTAATCCCCTTGTCACCAAATGCAGGCTAGGTAACCTGTACTTCATTGTTACCTAGGTTGTCTATCCTCCCCATGCTCCATTGTACCTTAGCTTGCCTGTGTTCTCTAGTGTAAACCATTTCTTTCAGTGTACCTGTGTACCTCAAAGTAATCTACCTCATTTTGTTATAGTGTAACTTTAGAAATTTACTATAGTGTACAGTAATTACTTTAGTATATTAAACTGTGAATAATTCCATTTCTCCTACACTACCCATAAACATTGGTGTTCCACGGGGCAGCATACTTGGCCCTCTCCTCTTTCTCGTCTACATTAATGACCTTCCAAATGCCTCTCAACACCTCAAACCAATCTTATTTGCTGATGACACAACTTTCATTTTCTCCAGTCCTGACCCTCTTGCTCTAAATGTCACTGTGAATACTGAACTAAATAAAGTCCTTCTTTGGCTAACTGCTAACAAACTCACCCTTAACATTGACAACACTTTCTATATTTTGTTTAGTAATAAATCCTCAAATGAAATTAATCTAAGAATAAGCAATATACAAATCAGTAGTAAAATTGATGGTAAATTCCTTGGTGTCTTCATCGATAACAAGGTGAATTTCCCAGGGACACATTCTAAATATATATATATGTCGTACCTAGTAGCCAGAACGCAGTTCTCAGCCTACTATGCAAGGCCCAATTTGCCTAATAAGCCAAGTTTTCATGAATTAATTGTTTTTCGACTACCTAACCTACCTAACCAAACCTAACCTAACTTTTTCGGCTAACTAACCTAACCTAACCTACAAAGATAGGTTAGGTTAGGTTAGGTAGAGTTGGTTAGGTTCGGTCATATATCTACGTTAATTTTAACTCCAATAAAAAAAAATAACCTCATACATAATGAAATGGGTAGCTTTATCATTTCAAAAGAAAAAAATTAGAGAAAATATATTAATTCAGGAAAACTTGGCTTATTAGGCAAATCGGGCCTTGCATAGTAAGCTGAGAAGTGCGTTCTGGCTATTAGGTACGACATATATATATATATATATGTATATATATATATATATGATATATATATATGTATATATATATATCATAAGAAACATATATATATATATATATATATATATATATATATATATATAAAATCCATAAGAAACAATAATTATTATTATTGTTATTATAATAATTATTGTTTCTTATGGATTTATATATATATATATATATATATATATATATATATATATATATATATATATATATATATATATATATATATATATATATATATATATCATATATATATATATATATATATATATATATATATATATATATATATATATATATATATATATATATATATATATGTATATATTATTGTTATTATTATTATTAATATTATTATTATTGTGTATTATTCTAATCTGCTTTTGTGTCAAAATTTCTTACAATGTACCTGTAAACATTTTTTGTCAATTTTACTGTGAATTATCTAAAAATTATCTGTTAGTTTAAGAACTTTCCAGAAAACGCTATGCGTGCTAGTGGCTTTACAAGAATGTAAAATCAACCTAATTTCTATGTTATCTGTTAACCCCAGTGTACCTTCTTGAGGTCATCTTGAGATGATTTCGGCCCTTTTTAGTGTCTCCGCGGCCAGGTCCTCGACCAGGCCTCCACCCCCAGGAAGCAGTCCGTGACAGCTGACTGACACCCAGGTACCTATTTTACTGCTAGGTAACAGGGGCATAGGGTGAAAGAAACTCTGCCCAATATTTCTCGCCGGCGCCTGCGATCGAACCCAGGACCAAAGGATCACAAGTACAGCGTGCTGTCCGCTCGGCCGACCGGCTCCCTCCCTCCCTCCCTCCGACCTTCTTGTATATAAATAAATAAATAAATAAATAAATAAATAAATAAATAAATAAATAAATAAATAAATAAATAAATAAATAAATAAATAAATAAATAATTTGGGTGGGTAGCCCCTGTAGTGATAGTGAAAACAGTTATGCGGCGGCGAAATGAAGAAAAACTTATCGTATTTATAAAGTCAATTATTTTTACCTGCTGTTTACTTTTGTTGCTAACTGAATTAGCAACTATGGCAGGAGGGTATGACATGTGAGAGAAAAATTACTCACAGGCAGCAGTCAACTTAATGTGATCTGTGCCATAAAAATACCACAGGCACATGTCAAAACATCTCATAAATTAATGAAAACTCACAACAATGAGCATACTGAAGACAAATGCAATTTTAATTTCCACTGCGTACCTTGCAGTAGGCATTGCAAGGCCGAAAGTAATGAAGAGATCAGAAGGAAAAACACTGGTGACATGATTACAAAATTACAAGAGGGGTCAGAAAGTTTTGATGAAACAGTTTAAGGACTTTCAACAATTGTTAATTAACACCCGTGTAGGCATGATTCCGAGGTAAACCATGTGAACCCGGGCGGAAAGCCTTCACCCCGGGTAAACACCCAGAATGCAGGCAGAGTTGAGGTGAACTAAGGCTGAACTCATACTCTCAGGGGAAACACACTGAATTCAGGCAGAGTTGAAGATTGTGGTGTAGAAGATCTGGTGAGAACAGCAGAAGCTTTTTATAAAAAAACGAAGAAACAACCTCATCATAAGGAACCTTGCAAAAGTAGAGGGTAAGAATGAAACGCTTTGCGTCATAGTGGCTTTAGGCATTGAATGTACTAGCTAATATCTTGATATCTTGAGATGATTTCGGGGCTTTAGTGTCCCCGCGACCTGGTCCTCGACCAGGCCTCCACCCCCAGGAAGCAGCCCGTGACAGCTGACTAACACCCAGGTACCTATTTTACTGCTAGGTAACAGGGGCATAGGGTGAAAGAAACACTGTCCATTGTTTCTCGCCGGCGCCTGGGATCGAACCCAGAACCAAAGGATCACAAGT